TCAGGGGGACGACTAGTACTATTTTGTCTCAAAACCAGCTTGGATGCTTGGGCGCCAAGGAATGAGTTTGGGGATTGCCAGGACGAGGACAAGAGTGGGGGCCTAGCGTTAGGCGTACCTGGGTCTTTGCTCAAACCGTCTGACGGTTCCATTATTTTTGATGTATTCTTGGTGGGATACATCAAAAAGTCCCCTAGGCTAGTAGACTTCAGCGTTTGCTTAGGGTAGCTGAGTGGTTCTATCTTAGATTTGGGCACGCGTTTGGTGGGAATGGTCCCTGACGTGTAATAGAGCCATTATGGTGAGGCAGCGTCTCTTCGTTCCATTTTTTCTTTTTCTCGTTCTTCCTTTTTCTTTTTATTTAAGGTTTCTCTACCTTTAGAAGCGGTTATACACTTCCTCTTCACATAATCCGCTGTCTCATCCTATATTGTCATTTATTTTTTCACCCATATTTTTTCTCTCTAATTCTTGATGGCCTCTGCTAGATTTGGAGTTGTTCCTACGCCCGAGGAGTTTGAGGCCCTTCAATTCCGATTTTGGTTCATGCCTGAGCATGGAGTTCAATTCCTATTGGAAGGGTCTACCATATATCAACCACCGGCCGGGAAAGTGGGTATTCCGGTGGCGATCTTCAACGTCGGGTTTCGGCTTCCCGTTTCTGGTTTCTTTGATGAGGTTATTATAGAATATGGTTTCTCTGTCCACGACTTGACCCCGAACGCTGTGAACAAGATAGTTGGGTTTGAATTAGGGTGTCAAGCGTTAGGAGTGCTTCCCCATCTTCAAGCATTCCAGTCTTTCTTCAATTCGTTTACTTATTTGGGCGTTCACACTTTCTCTCAGCACCGTAATACACATTCCTTTATAGTTAACCAGAAAGCGTCTCGGAAGAACTGGCAGGATTGATGGCTGTCGGTTAACAGTGATTTGGTTGGGGTCGGCTATGCTCGCGTGCATATGGCTTCAGATCGGGCACCCCAACTGTCGGGGTCGGTATGTTGGTGGCTCGCACGTTAAGAGGAATTTGTTTCAACGGCGAAGACTGGCCGGACTATGTATTGGCAGCGGCCGGAATGAGTGCTGCTTGGTGGTCTCGTGGAAAGATGCCTTAGTTTTTTGTGAACAACGACGGTAAGTGTTACCTTCCCCCTCCCCCTTTTTGTTTTCCTTTGCTTGGTATCTGACATTTGTTGCTGAGAAAAAAAGGGGTTTTGCGTTGTTTGTCGTTGCAGGTAGCGAGAGGTTTCTGTCTCTTGAGTAAGTGCTACGGGGGGATTTTGTAGGGGACCTACAGTATCACGAAGTCCCTCAACGAGAGACATTGTCGGCTCCAGCCAGAGTTAGCCTTGTTTTTTAGGGCGATGTCCCTCCCATCGAGGCGGAGGTTCGAGGATCAGGTGCGGCTAGTGGTAAAGTCGCCTCTCGTCGTCGGTTTGATGTTGTGGATTATATCCTTGAGGAAGATGTTGGTGGCAGTTCTATCAGCTGGCGTTTGCGTCGGAAACACAACATTGATCCTTTTTTTTCTAAGTCCTTGTTGTTATTGAGATTGCTGATACCGACGACCCGCAAGCGGTGGAGGCGGCGGATTTGCGTCGGTTGGGGGAGCCAGGCGTTGTAGGCACTTACTCCGTACCTCTCTTTGTTCCTGGTGATACCTCGTCGGCAGCGTGTGACAATCGTCAAACTCAAGTCAAAGCCAAAGTCAAAAGTCATCAAGTCAAAGTCAACAAGTCAAACCGATCAAACTTAACTAGTACTTGTATGTTAAAACTTATTCTATGTATAAAAATGTGCATTTGTATGTCAAGAATTCAAGTGTCTCGGAAAATCTATGTGCTTAGAAATGTAAAACCCTAAAAAGGGAGTTAAATGCATCAAAACACGACTATGGACCCTTTTGGGGACTTGAAATGATCATAAACGAAGCATAACGGGGTTCACGAACCTTGCATTACGAGATTATTCGATAATAATGGCTAAAATTAAATCTCTCCCACATCTCTCCAAGTATGTGAAATCTCTCCCAAATCTCTCCAAGTATGTGAAATCTCTCTCAAAAATCTCTCTCAACTTTTTTATAGTCATCCGGGTCATCCCGACCCTTACCTTGGCCAAAAACCACTTGAAACGGGAAGTTAACTTGAAAATCAGCTAAATAGGGCCGAAACCCCTCTTAGGAACCGAACCTCTTAGAAGGAACCTCTTAGAACCGAAACCTTCTATTAGGACCGAAGGTCCCTTGTGAGGACCGAACTTAGTCCCTCAGGACCGAACTTAGCCTTTCAGAACCGAACATTGCATCTCGGACTGAAGCTCAGTAGACCGAAGCCATGCAGGACCGAAACCTCCCTACAACCGAAATGAGCCGAAACCTCCATATAACCGAAATAGACCGAGCCCTCGGTCCATTTCGGTTCCATAACACCTTCGGTCCATTCTCCCACCTTCAGTTCCTTCTCCCCTTCTCTCGGATCCACACCTTCTAAGAGCCGAACCTCGCAGGTTCGCTCCTTAAGCCCGATTTTCGACTACTTTCGCTTCCTAAGCCCGTTTTTTACGATTTTGACGGGGATTTTTCACCAAATTCATATTTTACCATTTTAAGCCCCCTAAACTCATATTTTATTCATTTCTCAAGGATTTATTAATTAAAAATCATTAATTTATATTAAGAAGAGTATTCTACCCCACAAATGAGTCAAGTGTGCCCACTTGTCTCCATGTGTCATCTTCTCATTGGTCCAACCCTATCCACATCACACAAACCAAGGTAAACATCCTTTCAATCTTGCAAATTTCTCCATCAACATCTATATAAAGAAACCCCTGGAGTAACTTCTTGAATTCCTTGATCATTTCCTTCACTTACACACTCTTTTTACCCTTCAAGAAAGCTTCTTTTCTCTCTACTTCCAGCCACTTTTTGGAAGTGTTCTTGAGCTATTACTTCACTTTTGGTAAGTATTCAATCTAAACTCAAGTGTTATTCCATGTTTTCATAACATCCTTGAATCATCTACACACATATTAACACCAAAGAATCGTTCTTAGGATCATCCAAGCTTTCATGTGTTCATCAAATGTTCTTGACTTGATATTCCTCGTCTTCGACCTTCCACTCTTCAAGAAATCACTCAAGGTGAGTTCATACCCCTACATTTTCCAGTTTTCTTTAGTTTTCATGGGGGGGGGGGGATACAAGTTAAAACACCAAAACATATTTAAAACTTAACTTGACAGCTTACAACAGAAAAGTTGTGACCTGTTCACGAACTGTTTTACCCAACTTAAAATTAATATTTTTCAAAAATGTTTAATATTAAAATAGTTCAGGTTTATACCTTTAAAATGACTACTTGAACATCTCCATACGATTTTTCTACAATTTATGGTGATTTTTACAAAACTGCCTATCACTGCAGCAACAAAGTCGGACCAGGTTGTGAAGATGAACATTTTCACACTGGTTTGAGACCACCAAAAATTATAGGAAAATTTATGAATACAGTAGACTCTTTTTCTAAACTCTCCAAGTTTACGGATTCAGTTTTCGACTTACTATGATTTTTCTATAAATATTCTAAAACAGTGACAGTTAAGGGTAAAACTGTCAAACACAAGTTTAAGAGTTATTCACACCTTGTAACATGCTGAGCAAGGTGTGTAAGATTTACACTTAGTAGTTTCAATGTCATTTTCATTGAAATACAAAGTCATGCATATCGAGGTTTCATTAAATCATAACACACAACTGATAAACTATAATAGGTATAGTTTGAACACGTTATTTAACAAAGAAATGGTAATACAACCGATTTACAAAACGGGTATTTCATTACAAACAATGTGAACTTGTTAATGAATAAATTTGTGAGACATTCACCTTCGGGGTACTCTTAAGTACCATAGAAAAGTTCTGTAGTTATAATCAGAATCTCTTGGAGGGAGAGCGTGATAGTTGTGTATAGATCTATATTGGGTCTGACAAACCCGCACCTAAGCTGCTTGCAACAGCTAGACCGGCAGGTCTGGGGTGACAAGTGTCATAACAAGTCCGACGCCTGAAGAACGTCGAGTACGAGGTCTTCGAGTTTTAGCATGGTTATAACACCTCACATGGGGAATTAACAAAACACACAGTTCACGGGGATTTAAGGAGATTTATTTAAATATAAAACCACACACATAAGTATGACGATTTACTTACATATACTAAGTCTTGGTTCAGTTAAGACTACAACAAACCTTTTAGAAAATATTGGATTTTCTGGTAACAAACTTGTAACAAACTTTAAGGAACAACATTCATCTTTCATTCATAAAACTGTTTATGAACTCACCAGCTTTATGCTGATACTCTTTCAAAAACAACTTGTATTCTCAGGTATTCAGTAATACAGGTAACCACAAGATTTTTGAAGGCAAGACGCTAAGGCGCAGATTTCTTTTGAACTATTTTGACATCATATGTAATTTATTTGGAAACATGTATTTTTGCAACGATATAACCTTTTAAATTATATTTATGATGGTTGTGTTTACTTTCTTCACTATGGTTATGATACTGAGCATGACGTCCTCCGCCCCCGAACGTTTCCGTCGTTCCGGTTTGGGGGTGTGACACAGCGGGTCCTTTTGTCTTTAGGTGCGACTGGTGTGTATGTCCCTGGGTGGAGTCTCGCGCCCGGTTCCCTTTTTTCGGAACAGGGACTGCCCGTGAATGGTGCCGACATGCGTTTCCCCCGACTACCCTGGAGGCTCTCGACGCTCTTTCCTATTCTCACATGGCGAACGATCTTCAATATGTCGTTGCTTAGGTTGCTCCCTACTTGGTGGCGGCTGTTGGTCATCTTCGTTACATAGGGGCTGATTTGGAGGAGCTGGTTGCTGTTAAATCCGAGCGTGATGAGTTTGCGAAGAAGGTTTGGCTTCTCGAAAAGGAGAGACGCAAGTTTGATGAGCGCTACCTCATGCTGTCCGAGGAAGGGACTGCTATGGAAGCTCAGGTGGCGACCTTGGATGGGGAGGTAGATCTCTTATCCCAACAGGTCCAAAATTTGGTATCGGAGAAAGAAGCATTAGCGGAGCGTTTGGCACTGCGAGATGATCAGTTCGCCTCTAAGGTCTCGAGGAGGAAAAGCTTGGAGGCTGATTTAGCGTGGGTTCTCCAGAAGTGAGTGGTTCGAGTGGTGGACCATGTTGTTTAGAGGAGTGAGTTCGCGCTTGGGATTTGTCACGTGAAGGCCGCATGTCTGGCTGCTGGTGTAGAGAATGGAAAGCAAGTGGCACGCACGTGGTCAGCTGGTAATAGCCTTGGCTCGTCTGATCCGAACGTTGTGGCACAATCCATTGATGCAATGCATGCTGCTATTAGGGCTTTTTCCGAGACGGACTTCGTGTCCTACCTTCGTTTGGGTGAGCTCAGCCTTGCTGATCTTCGCCAATTGTACTCTGAGGAGGAGGAACACGTGCTAGACGGTGGCGTTGGGGGCACTGCTTTGACTCAACCTCGCCGGGATTAATTCTCATTTTATTTTTGTATGTTTGTTGTTTTGTTTCTCATTTTTTGTACTGTGTGGAATGTTGTTGTAGTCGCTCTCGCTGGTTCTTCATGACTAACGTTTGCCCGAAGAGTATTTTGTAGGCCTTGCTTTTGGCTCTTAACTGAGCGGCCAATTGCCTCTCTTTTGTGGTCGCTTAAGGTGAGCCGAAGTCGTCACCTCGAGGCTCTTTGGACTCGTATGTGCTAAATTGTCATGGGAAGGTTATGATCCTTCGGGCCCTGTGGGCAGATTTGGTTTAAAAGCCTAGAGGCTTTATTGCTTTTTTCAACCGATGTATACATAGGGGCCATTTCTTTCTGAGATTTGTGGTTGCATGTTGGTGGGTCGTTTCGCTCAGACAATGTGGGTGATCAACCCGTATTGTCGTTTGGCATGTTCGTACACCCCCTTTTTGTTCTTTGCGTTTGTATTTATGTTTTACATACGCGTGTGTGTATATTGACTTGTAAGGTGTCACACCCCGCTAAAGCGGAAACACGAGGTGTGACAGTATAAAGGGTTTCATAGCAAATGTTAAAAGACAACACCAACCATAGTATTAAAAAGCGTTACAAATTTACAATGAGTTTGAAGAAATTTTTAAAAGAAATTACAATGTAAACTGAAAATACAACACATGCGAATGCACCTAAAAGTGATGTGTCCCTAAGTTACACTTACTCGATGATTCCTGAAAAAGCATGTAAAACGAGCGTCAACTATAAAAATAATTGCCGAGTACTCACAGGTTTATAACATAATATAGTTTGAAGTCATGATAATTAGAATATTGATAACAGTTTCCATAAACAAATGTTCATTACTAAAATAAATAAATAAGTTTTCATGAATAGAAGTTCGTTGCTAAAGCGAGTAATAAAGTTTCCATAAATAGAAATATATTGCAAAAATGAGTAAATAAGTTTGCATAAACAAAGTTCGTTGTCATCATGAGAGATGAAGTGTGTTGCCCAAATGAGATGCAACGTTCATATTCTCATGGGAAATAAAGGTTTCCATAAATATAAATATATTGTAAAAATGAGTAAATAAGTTTGCATAAACAAAGTTCGTTGTCATCATGAGAGATAAAGTATGCTGCCCAAATGAGATGCAACGTTCATATTTCTCATGGGAAATAAAGTTTGTTGCTAAAACGAGATACAAGGTTCGTATGTGCATAATGATTATATCATGAGTTCACAACTCAAGCCTAATGACCGAGGGTGCCCTATTCTATGTCTATCGCTAACATAGGGAAATATAGTAAAATGCACTCAAGCGAATCGTGCGAGTGGGGAGTTGTCTACCTCCTAATAGCGTTATCCATAATGACCATGGGCTCAAATGAGTTAATGAGTCGTGTGAACTAATTCCAGGGACTTAAACACGATAAGGCCTCATGAATTAAACATAGCATACACATACACAACAAAATATAGCAACCAAGTTTGATACAAGTCAAATAAAATACAACGAACAATAAATAATTTTTGGACATGCTTTTCCACCCCAAAACGTAAAAACCGAAAATAGGGGGAGTCGTGAATACTCACAGTGCTTTGAGATGATGCATATGATGACTTGAACTACATTCCACTTGTACCACTATCAATTCCTACAGGATGTTACACACTAATGAGTCTCTAATAGAAAGCCAATACTAGTATACTTGCTACTACAATAGAATTATGCCAATATTGTGTCAAAATTTAATATTGTTAAGTTACAAACATTTTCTGAAATGGTGAAATTTTATAACTCATGTGATTAAGATAATTTTGGATATTATTTTCCAGATTTTTGTAATATTAATTGAGGGTATTTCAATACATTCAAAGGTGTTTTAAACTCCTAAAAATCTAAAATATTATCAAACAGTTTCCAAAAATTCTCAAACTTTGAATTTTCATTCTAAATACAGTAGATGTCTTCCAGAAAATTTCCCTTGAATTTTTGATGTGATTAACTATTTTTCCCAATTTTTAAGCCTTCATAACAATATAAATTCGTGAAAAATAGTATCCAAATGATAAAAATTCCCAAACTTTTTATAATACTTCCATTGAACATACTTAAACTGGAAAAAATATAAAAATGGGCTTCTAAACAGTTTATCCCGATTTTATGATTTTTGTGCATTTATTCTAACAAAAATGGAAATAATTAGAAGACAGTTTCCAAAATTGCCCAAAATTTTTGTAACACTGTTATTATACATATAGAAGCTATGAAAAATATAAAAGATATTTTTCAGTTAGGTTTGCTATTTGTCTTTGTTTTATTCTCTTGAATAATCATTAATTGTTGAATAATTATCAAACAGTTAAATTAAATTACAAAAAAAAATTTAAACTTCATTTACAGTGTACATAACCCAAGAAAAATACCAATGGTGATTTTTATATAATGTAATCCGATTTTGTGGATTTAAGTGTATTTAATCTTAGAAAATAGAAGATAAATAGCATACTGAATAGAAAAATCATCCAAATTTTTATTTAGAGTTATAATATATTATAAGATCTTCTGATAAATTTTCATGAATTTTGGATTAGTAGAACTATTTTTCCCATTATTAGTACATTATAAATACAAAAATTGGGGAAGAATATGTATGCATTATGAAAAATTCTGAAAATATTTTTCTAAGTATTCCACATGAGGTAGGATCTGCGAAAAATATTATATACCTTTTCACATTTCCTAAAATAGTTTTATGATTTATTTTAATTAAACAAAAAGAAAATTCAAAACCATACCAAACAGTTACCAAAATCGATGAAACTTACTGAGATGTTATCATTCACTTTAGGGGTCATCCACAAATTTACCTAGGATTTATAGACATCAGAAAGTATTTTATATGATTTATTCCTCTATTTTATTGCAATAATTAAAATAATTCGAGAAAAAGGAATTATTTTCTGAAAATTTACAGATCATCTTATTTTATTAGTGGATATTCTTGCAAATATCATATTTGATCAGAAAAGAGTTTTAGGTATTTATTTGCGAATAAATCCTTTATGAACATATTTGAAAACTTTTAACAACAAACTTTGATCATCTAGCATCTAAGCTTGAAGATCATCACATGCATGTTGGTTTGAAGACCATTCATGAGTTTGAAATGTTCAAAATTTTGTTTTTGAAAGAAAACTTTGGATGCATGTGGTGTTTTTCCACCAAAACATGTAGAAAAGTGCATTTCCTTGATTTTGACTTAGGTTTAGGTCATGGGACTTCACCATCTACAACATGCATGTTGTGTTTGGATGAAATCCTACCACCATCATCATCAAAACTGTGAGTAGGTGCAAGTGTTCATGATTTTACAATAGAATGGAGTAGAAGAAGAAGAAAGTGTAAGAAAAATAACAAAACTTGAAGGAAAAGTGAAGTAGAAATCGATTTTACCTTCAAGAACACCACAAGATGACGAATATTTCGAGTTTGAGGTGTGTTTTTGGACATATTTTCTGGAAATTTTCGTGGGTATAGATAGAGGATGAGAGAAAATGTATGGTGGAGTGTGAGAGAGAAACAAGAGAGAGATGAGAGAAGATGGAGTGTAAGAGAGGTGAAGAATGATTATGAGTGTTGGAAATGGATGAGGAGGAGTGTTTTGGGAGAGGGGAGGCCGAAATTTTGGAGGTATAATGTCCTTCTTCTCTTTACTTTTATAAAAATTTCAATTATTTTATAAAAATATTAAACTTTTTATAAAATATACACCCTAACCTACTTTTTATTCATAAAACCTTGATTTTTGACTTATAAATTAAGGGTAAATGTTAATGACTTAAATTTTTATTTTCCTTGATTATATTTCCCTGAATTTAATTATTTTAAGTTAATATTATAAGTTTCATAACTATTTTTATAGAATTCTTGATGTTAAACTTTATAAAATTTAGGTTTTAGGGCTTTTAGGGTTTTGAGATTTAATAAAGCTTTGGATATCAAAATCAATAGAATCTTTGAGACTTCAATTTATCTTATGGTATTATAACTCTTTTATAGTTATAAATAACGTTTGTAACTTATTTTATCAGTTTATTGACATTCTATGTAGTGGTTTCGAGATTCAAGTGAAATTGAGGAATCAAGTATACTAGTCCTAGTTTTCAACTTTGATTTAAGTTCCAACGAGACTCGGACCTAATTTCTACTACTAGGTCAAATGCATGATGTGTGTATATGATTCATGAGAAGGTGTTCGAGTCAAAGAGTGACCCGAATATGGATATTCACTACAATTAAGTAGTTGTAGAATTCACATATCAATGTGAAATCTAAGTGTACTATCCATTGATTATAATTGTTTCCAAGTTTCTAGTAGGTTATAACTTAGTTTCTAGTTACTAAATCTAATATGTGTCGTGCCTACATGTACAACTAAATTTATCAAATCTAGAACCGACTCGAATTTTGACGGTTGTCATATAAGGTTAGTCTACTACCTCGTGAAACTTCATTAATCGGAAAGTTCTAAGGACAACTTAAACATATTCATGTAAACCGTTTGACCAAAGTGTGGCTTTTAGGCCGGAGGTCCGAGCATCATTACCCCTCCATTGGTTATGCCCTTTGTCGGTTGTTTTTACGAGTAAAAGTGGCGCAGGTTGCGTGCGTTCCATGTTCGGGGTATCAGTCTCCCGTCTTGTGCTTTCAACGTGTATGCTCCGTCCCGATGCGTGCGCGCTATTTTTTAGGGTCCTTCCCAGGTTACACTTAGATTCCCCAGTGGCTCCGGTTCTGTTATTTTGGATGTATTCTTGGTGGGATACGACAACAATAGCTGGGTTGCTAATTGGCAGAAATTATCTTATAAAATCAGCCCATTTTAGAATTTTTGAAGTAGCCCAATATAATTAAATACCAATAAAAGCCCAAGTTAAATCAAGGCTGGATCACAATTGTAGAGGAGTTAACCCAAGTTCTTTTCTCTTATTCTCGTTTTTTGTGTGTGGAAC